AGCAGCTTTTCTCTCCCCAGAGAAAAGCCCCGTTAGTAACTGCGGATCCGACATATGTCGGATCCGCGTAACTCGGGGACTGCCTGTATTCATATATTTTAGGGCTTATGTCAGGGTGGGCAAAGGGTCTTCCGTAGGTCAGATCCAGCTCGCCAAGCAGGTGGATCCAGCTCATGGACGCCCTGCAGCTCCCCCAACCCCAGGGCCTGGCGGTGACGCGCAAAGTCTCTTGCTCCCTGCTGCTGCTCTGCAAGGGGCGCCGAGCACTTAGAGAGTCCACTCTTAAGTGCCGTGCACACCTTGCAGGGCGGAGGCAGGGACCGCACAAAGTTTCCTCCCTCCCTGCAAGGAGTGTGTAGTGCTTTCACTCTGTAAGTGCTGCATGCCCCTTGCAGGGCAGTGGCAGGGAGTGAGAGACTTCTTGTGCTCCCCTGCCCCCAGGTCCTGATTGACCTGAGGGTGGGGGGAGTGCGTAAAGTCTCCTGCTGCTAGGGGTGCGAGTGCCTAGAGGGAACCGCCAGCTGTTCAGAATAACTGGCAGTTCTCTCTAGGCAGGGGAATGGTGGGGGCAAAGACTTCACGTGCTCCCCCGCCTCCAGGCCAGCCAGGGTCTATAGGGAAGGGAAGGGAACACAGCACTGTCCTGGGCCCATCCCTCCTGGCCAAGACCCTGCCCCTTCCGGGACGTCCTGGGGCCACTTTAGTGAACTGGCCCCTCGTCTAAAATTATTGCCCACCCCTGGCTCATATACATGGGGACATACAGGAAAATTAATCTGAATTAACTGAAGAGGTGAATTAATTAAACTGCATTAAAAACCCCTCTCAAAAACAGGAAAAAAACCCATATCACTAAACTTGTATTGGCAGCATGAGGTAACTGAAATATTTAGAACTTGAAAAAATAGTTCATCAGTATTATGTTCACAGGTTAAAAAAGAAACTCAGAAACTAAGAGAGTTTGAAGAAGGCCTTGTGAGCCAGTACAAATTTTACTTGGAAAATCTGGAACAAACAGTTAAAGGTATAGTGTATGTTTCCCTCATTTCTTAATAGATACTCACCTATCGTAAGTGTTTGCAGGATCACATCATAAGTGTTTATGATTAGCCTGAGTATTGTTTTCTGCACTTAGAAGTTTTTTGATTATTTCATAGAAATCTGTACTTAACACTTATTCTAATAAAACATCAGGAAATCTGCCAGAAAAATACTCAAAAATAATGCAATAGCTTAATTTTGTATAATAATAACAAAAATAATATTTTATTCAGATTGGAAGCAAAGGAAGCTGAAGAAAAGTAACGTAATCTCATTAAAAGCGTATAAAGGTCTGGCAGAGATTGCAATCAAGTGTCTGTGTGAGCTTCTTGTGGCGCTACCTCACTTCAATTTCCACAATAACATTATTGTGCTGATTGTACCTCTCATGAATGACACATCAAAATTGGTGGGTATTTTCCCAGTTATTTGTTATGATTTTAAGAGCCATTTTCTTACCTGAAAAATATTTCTGATTTTTGAAAGTTCATTCCAAAGTTTGTATCCCTTTTTAACACTGTTTTACAGACTTTCTCTCTCTATTTGATGATTTTTTTTAATTGAAAATGGAAATGTTCATAGAAATTGTTATTGAGTAACTTATAGCATAAACTTCTCTTTTTGATATTTTCTGAGAATAAACATTTTAATTAACTTTGCAGATTTCTGAAATGTGTTGTGAAGCTGTAAGGAAGCTCTTTAAACAAGACAAACTGGGCTCTGTTTCTCTGGGTGTCGTTAAAGTGATTTCCAGCCTTGTAAAGAGTAGAAATTATGATGTTAGACCTGAGGTAAGTTTCTGTTGTACTTCAGAATTGTCTTTTGACAATGACAAAAATAATGAAATACTAAAGAGTTAGTGAAATGCTGGAAGGCTTTACTATCTTTCTTGAAAATAAAACAAGTTTAGGATGTCTTGACCCCTAAAAAGGAGATAAGGGGAATAGTGTGTTTGATGACTCTTCCCCCCAATGTTTACATTTTGAAATTTTGTTTGCAGTCTAAATTAGGACAAAAAGTCGAAACATCAAAAAAAATGTGCAGACCAAAAAACTTTGATTCTGAAATATCAGTTGAACATTCAACTGCATCTGATATGTTAGACTCTAGCACTCAAATTAAGAAATTTCAGAAGTAAGGTTGCCTATACAGAAGTAAGGTTGCCTAATTTTTCCTCCTCGTGCATATATACCTCATATACAGTCTTTAATTAAATAAACTTTAAAAACAACTACTCCGGAAGCACTTTAAAGACTAACAAAACATGTAGATGGTATCATGAACTTTCGTGAGTACAGTCCACTTCTTCAGATGACCAGAGTGTTGGATGTCCAGGTGCCAATGTAAATAAGAAGCCATCAGCATTATCTCTGATAAATGTAAACAAACTTTTTTGTCCTAGTGACTGACTGAACAAGAAGTAGGCCTGAATGGTCTTGTAGGCTGTAAAGTTTTACATAGTTAATTGGGGTGCAGCTGTGTCTCAAAAATCACACTTGTAAGTTGCACATTCATCACAGTAAGAAGATTGCATTATGGTACATGTATTATTTTAATTGCGATTCATTTTTTTGAGTTAACTGCATGAGTCAACTGTGATTAATCGACAGCCCTACTTATAATTTGTTTCTGAAGTATCATTTACCTAAGATTATTAGTGCGTTCATTTATTATGGGTTGCTATATAGATTTCATTCATGGGGAAGTTATATGGGGTATGAGGACTTCACTTTGGAGAAATAAAGGCATGTTCAAGTTACAAGTTCTAGTCACTGGATTTAAATAAAAAAATAGGTTAAGGTGTGTTGCAGGCACCAAAATCTGTAGCCATAGTCATGTAAGGGAAGACTTCTGTAAATTAATATTTTATGAAAACACATTGTGTATGTTTTCTGATTAGCTATTCAAATCTGTATAAAGACTCAGTGTGACAGGGCAGAAGCTCAGTCTAACACACCCAACCTTGAATGCCTGATGTTGATAAACTGCTGTTGTAAGTTTACCGTCCATTACTTTGTTATACTTCAGGCACTACATATTTTAATGTTGCTGTCTCAATGTTAGGTGCTAAAAATATTCCTTCACCTAAGAATTAAAGAAGTAGAAGTAAAAAAAGACACAGAAGACATAACTGCAAATAAAAAGTTCATGTCCTATAAGGAGAAAAGGAAAAATCTTTCAAGGATGCAAAGAAAGGTATTATTGAAAATGATTGCTTTGTTACCTACGCTATTCCTTGGTGCTGGTAATTGCATTGAATAGCAGTGTTTATACAGCATTTTGGGGCACATCAAGGAATTTATTTGATTTTCCTAATTCTGTTCTTTTCCCCTTACTTATTACAATCATTAGGAAAACTTCTAATAGTGTGACTTGGTTCTGTTTATTAGTTGGTGAGAAGAGGATGTTTAGCAAATGGGTTACCCTCCATTACCCTTCTCCCATTATTAAGACAATTTCATTCCATGGTGGAACTCAAAAGATCAGCATAGCATTGAACGTGGATATTTCAGATACGTCTGGATGCTTGCCTCCAGGCTTAGTTGGAAGTGGTATTTTTTAATTTGCCAGAATATTTAATATCTTTAAAATGAATATATTTTCAGTGGAAGAAAGCAGAAGAGAAGTTGGAACGAGAACTCTTGGAAGCAGAAGCCTCAGAGAGTAAAGAAAAAAAATTGAAATTGGTAGGAAATTGGAGACATTGTTTTTTCTGCTTTTGTATGTGTGCTTGCAAGCAATTAAAGTTAGTTGTCTGAAGTCTTTGAAGTCCAAGTTGTCTCTTCTCTGTCACATTAGCTCAGTAGGTAATGATAGTACACTAAGAGGTTGGTGATATGAGGCATGGAAGATAACTTCTCAGGCAGAAAAGATATTGTAGGTCATAAGGCAGAAGCTGGGAAAGTTTCATTTTTGCAACTTGCAGACTTAGCTGTGTTGAGGAAACCAAAACTGTAAAAACGCAGGTTGAGCACAAGTGGTACCTGTAATTTGTAAATGACTGACTAGATTATAGTCTACAGCAGAGGCCTCCATTGAAGTGGAATTGCTTAGACTTGTTCTAATCATCCTTTGTGTGTCTGAGAAAAATTCTGCTGCTAGAAGCCCTATAAAAGTTCATTAGTATTTACCCCTAGATTAGGGGTGAGCAAAAATTTTTTGCCGGGGGCCACTTCAGAAATTTTTGAAGTGGCCTGGGGCCTCAAGCGGAATGGGCGGGGCCAGGATACTTCTCTGCTTCCCCACCCACACAGTGAAGTCTTTGCTCCCTCCCCTCCCAGAGCTTCCCCCTAGGCACCCATGCCCTTGGCGATGAGAGGAGACTTCACACGCTCCCCTAACTATCCCCAAGACAATTGGCTTGGGGGTGGGTCAATGCGTCAAGTCTCCTCCCGCCCTGCCAGGTCCGTGTGGTGCTTCTAAGCGTCACATGCTCCTTTGCAGGGCGGAGGAAACTTCACTTGCTCCCCCTGCTCCCAGGCCAGGGCTTGGGGATGTGGGAGCGCATAAAGTCTCCGTGCACTCCTGGCAGGGCGGAGGAAACTTCTTTCACTTCCCCTCGCCCCCAGGGCCTAATTGGCCTAGGGGCGGGGGAATGGCAGGGCCTCCACAGGCGGGATCAAAGGCCCTTTTGCCGCCCTTCTCCCCCGACACTGCCTATTTAAAACATCTTCCCTTTAAATATGTACACTTGTTTAGTATCACTTTGTTGGCATTTATTTTCTTTTATTTATATTTAAGAAGGTCTTCTGAATTCTTTCTCTGAATGAGGTGTTGCATCAAAATAGACTATAAAAGCATGATTTATGTTGGTCAGATTTAGAAATATCATTATTCATTTTAGTTTACTGCAGAATCTAAAATCCACCTTCTGACTTTTAGTAATGTGTAGCTGTATTCTCTATGAAAGGAATTTTTGGATGACCATATTTGTAATTATTAGGATTTTGGAGGCTAGTGAGTTCAAAATTGGAAAAAAAGGAAAAGTTTGAGTTTAGTTTAAATGAATCTACAGTACATGTTTTCCATGCATATTGATATGATATTATGTACTTTCCCCACAGCATACAGAGATGCTGAATATTGTATTTTTAACTTACTTCAGAATACTGAAGAAGGTACAGAAATCCCCTCTTTTGCCTGCAGTTCTGGAAGGTCTTGCAAAGTAAGAGCTATAAGGCAATATTTGTCTATGTATTTTAGAAAAAAATACGAGTCAGTAAAAAGACATTTTAAGGAAATTTTGCATGAGCAGTTGAACTTCATGAAGGATATATGAATAAAAGACACCAAAATTAATTCGTTTATATGTTTGATCACTTCTTACATCTATCATTGTAGTATCTAATTGTCAGTATAGGATTTACATGACAATAATTTTTCAAATCATGAAGGGACTGCGTTATTTATTCCAGTTTTTAATAAAGAAATTGAAAGTCATTCTTTGTGGTGTGCAGTAGCACTAATGAAAAGTTGGCATGTGCCTCAGAGGGGTTGCATTATCATGGTGGGTGAATATAGAGTAAACCCAAGAGGGCATTTGATGTAAGTAAAGGATGAAGAAGTAGTCTTTGGCAGGTCACAGAATGCTTTGAATGAACTTGCAGAGAAAATTATCTATAGTTACAGAAAAAATAACAATCTCCCTGGTTCTAGGTTTGCCCATCTCATAAATGTAGATTTTTTTGATGACCTGTTGGTGGTTCTACATTCTCTCATTGCATCTCGGGTAAGTTGAGAATTGTCTAATGAGGTAATTTCTTGAGACGTGTTCTTAAAATAAAGCTGTATCTATTGTGTATCAGCTATTCTTTTGTATTCCCAGGATCTAAGCTATCGGGAGAGCCTTCATTGTGTTCTCACCGCTTTTCATATTTTGTCTGGCCAAGGTAAATTCTCTAAAAATTAAACTTTATAATTTGTTTTTAGATTATAGTTACTGAAGTAAACCTACTTATTTGGGATTATTTTTTAAATAGGTGATGTCCTCAACATTGACCCTTCAAAGTTCTACACTCACCTTTATAGGACACTATTTAGACTACATGCAGGTAACTTCAGTGTCTTATGTTGATTTTATTTGTATGATAGTCTTAAAAATGTGAAGACACCTATTTTTTATCCATTTCTGCAAAAGAATGGCAATTTGTTTTAACTGGTTTGTTCTTTCAAGTTTATAGCATTGCATAGTACCAATTTCAAATAATGTCAGATTTCATTAGGGGCCTAGTGATTGATGTTGCATCAGCATCTAAACCAGGAATGGGTAACTCTATGGTAACACAAGGCCACAAAATCCACGAAAACTCTGTGGTGGGCTAATGGGTATGTCCAGAGGCTGTTTAAGGGAGGGGTTGGAGAGCACATCTGCCTTGCACTCATCCTACAGCAACAGCTCCTGTACTGTAGAACTAGGGCTGGGCCTGACTCCCAGCTCCAGTCCATTTGCTCTTGTTGCAGCATCATATGATATATGTATGTACCTAGGCAGGGCCCTTCCATATTTTCCTGTCTTTGGCATTGCTGGATTGTTTGCCCTGAGTTTGGCTGTGGTGAGCCATATAAAATGATCTGGCGGATTGGTTGCTGCTTCCGCGCTGCCAGTGTCCCATCCCTGATCAGATCTCTTCTTCTAAAAATCTGTCTTTTGATTCCATATTGATTCTTTGCAAAGGCAATTTAAATCACTGTTGATCTTTTGTAAATTTTATATTTTCAACATTAATTGCTCTTAATATATGTTTTAACATTTTGTGAAAACGTCTAGTAAAGTAAGGATTCATTTAGTTTGAGTTTCATTAACTTGTATAGTGTAAGGAGTAACTCATGAATTAGCTATATACTATTTTTTGTTGTACATGAATTCACAACACTTGATGAGCACTCTTTAATAATTATAAGTAATTGAAAGAATGATCAGTGTAATTAGGACCAAAAGAATCTTTGTGAATTTAAATATCCTTGTTGGAATAAATGTATTGTTAAAAGAAGCACAAATATATCGAGTCAGTCAAAGCAGTAACAGTTTTATAAAAGTAGATGCATGTTTTTGTCTGTCATGTTAATAATTACTGTTTGTTTGAAAAATGTAATACAATATTCCAGGGCTCTGATTTCTAAGCAACATCCTTCACAGAATATTTTCTTTCATACGTAGAAAGTCTCTTGTTGCCTTTTAAATGGGTTTTTATGTATTCTGTTTTTTGAGGAGCTACAAATGATGATATGGTGATCGTGCTTCAGTGCCTGGATGTAATGCTTACCAAACGCAGGAAACAGGTTTCTCAGCAACGAGCCCTCGCTTTCATAAAGCGACTTTCCACACTTGCTCTCCACGTCCTTCCAAATTCCAGTGTTGGGATCTTGGCAACCAACAGAATATTGATGCAAGTAAGTTCTTAGTTATTTGCTGGAATGGAAAATTTCTTATTTGATTATCTCCTTTCTGTTAGCAGTGTCTCTCATAGAATTTGCTAGTTGATGAATTGTTATGTAGTATTTATTTTTTAATTTTATTTTACTACAGAATATTTTGAAGTATTTTTTAAACATGAAAGCAGCATTTCCATAAGTACTGCTGGGTCTTAATAATGCTGAATTTTTGGTTACACTCTTGAAATTGCATTATCATGTTATATGCATTAACATGTGAGATAATTTCTTTTTCTGTGTCATGGTGTGAAAGATGTTCCCAAAAACAGACCTCCTGCTAGACAATGAGGCTCAAGGTAGTGGACTTTATCTCCCAGAACTGGATGAGCCAGAGTGTTGCAATGCTCAGAACACAGCTCTTTGGGAATTACATGAGTTACGGGTGAGTTACTATTTGGATAATTCTGGTTAGCTAGCTAAATGTTTATATACTTAACTAAAATGCAGAGTTCAGATCAATGCTATAATCTCTAGACTGGACTTTAGATGACATAGCTTTGTCTAACTTCTGCTAACAATATTTTCAGTTTGTTACAATGGTATTTTGAGGTGGGTTGTGTGCTGTGTACATCCTTTCTATTTAATTATGCTAAGAGGATCTAATGCTTTGTGGCTAGTGTAAACCAAGCACGTTGCACCCATCAGGATTTCTTGCATCCCTCCATTCTTCCCTATTATCTCTTTGTGTCGAACCCTGTTTCAGGGACTCCCTGCAACTCTCCCCAACATTTCCCTCTTGATGGGCTCTGTGTGACCCCCATTCACCCTTCTGCCACATGCCATCGCCCTTGTTTGCACCATGGCAGAAGCTGTGTGTGTGCCCTCATTCACCACGTATTTGCCATGGCATGGTCCCTTCATTCTTCCCATTCCAGGTCCCTGCTTCTATCCCTTCTTCCAGTGTCGGTTTCCCTTCTCTTCTCCCACTGTGGGTCCCTGCTTCCTTGCCAGTTCACTCAGTCTTCCCCTGCCATCTTTGGTGTGTTTCACCACCATTTCCCACCTCCACCCTTCAGTTCTTTCTGGGTCTCTGCTCCCCCCACTATCTCATCTTTAAAAAACAGGACTATGTAGCACTTAAAAGACTAACAAGATGGTTTATTAGGTGATGAGCTTTCATGGGCCAGACCCACTTCCTCAGATCAAATAGTGGAAGAAACTTGGCACAACCATATATACCAAAGGGATACAATAAAAAAAAAGAACACATATGAAAAGGACAAATCAAATTTCAGAACAGAAGAGGGATGAAGAGGGAAGGTAAATGTCTGTGAGCTAATGATATTAGAGGTGATAATTGGGGAAGCTATCTTTGTAATGGGTAAGATAATTAATGTCTTTGTTTAGGCCTAGGCGTAATATGTTGAATTTAAGCATGAATGACAGTTCAAAGGATTCTCTTTCAAGTCTGGTGTTAAAAGGTCTTTGAAGCAGGATGCAGGTAATCAAGTCGTTGAGACCATGCCCTTTCTGGTTGAAATGGCAAGAAACAGTTTTTTCTGTGTGATCCTGTCTAATATCTGTTTTGTGTGCACTGATTCCTTGGCGAAGTGTCTGAGACATTTGTCCAATGTACATAGCAGACGGACATTTTCGGCACATGATAGCATAAATTATATTTTTGGATGAGCAGGAATATGTGTTCTTGATCTTATAACTCAATTGGTTAGGTCCAATAATGGTATCAGCAGAGTGAATATGTGAACAAAGCTGGCAACGGGGTTTGTTGAAAGGGAAGGTTCCAGGGTTGGTATTAGTGTGGTATGTCCTGTGGTTGTTGGTAAGAATCATCTTGAGGTTAGGTGGTTGTCTATAGGAGACTATGGGTCTGTCTCGGAGTTTAGTATCCTGTTCCAGTATAGGCTGTAGTTTATTGATAATGTATTGGACAGGTTTAAGTTGGGGGCTGTAGGTGATGACAAGTGGTGTTCTATAGTTGGTTTTCTTGGGTCTGTCTTGAAGTAGACGGTTTCTAGGTATTCGTCTGGCTCTTTCAGTTTGTTTTTTTCTTTCTCCGGGTGGGGATTTTATGTACAAATCACCAATGGAAAATTAGACACCACTCTCTACAGAAAACCCACCAACTCATACAGTTACCTACATGCCTCCAGCTCCCATCCAGAACACACCATACGATCCATCGTCTATAGCCAAGCCCTTTGATACAACCGCATCTGCTCTAATCCCACTGACAGAGACCAGAAACTTCAGGCTCTCGACCAAGCATTTATAAACCTCAATTACCCACTATTTGATCTGAGGAAGTGGGTCTGGCCCACGAAAACTCATCACCTAATAAACCATCTTGTTAGTCTTTTAAGTGCTACATATCCCTGTTTTTTGTTTCAGCTACACCAGACTAACACGGCTACATTTCTATCACTATCTCATCTTTGTGCCCCTTGACTCTCTCCTTCCCACCCCTCTCAAAATCCTCCCTGAAGATTTTCTTCTTTCTGTTAGAATCCAAGCTTTCAGCACAGCAAATCTGCTGCCTTTGAAATGTGTAGGCAGCAGCATGGGGATCAGCAGAAAGATTCCTCAGCCTGTAGCATCACAGCACTAGGAAATCTGGGGTACTGATTTTCTTGTGATTCAGTCTTTTCCTGTCTTCTAAATTTGCATCAATAGGTTTGTTCCCATCTAAGTTTCCTCTAAGTTGTTCAACTTGGGTGGCTATGAAGCTGCCCAACAAGTCCTGCACAGTGCTCGGGGTGGGCACACAGAATGCCAGCTATGTCCACTGGCCCCAGCACTGAGCTGCCATGGTAGTTCTGTGCTGGGGCTGAGGCTTCTGCCCCCTGTTGTCTCAGCTGTGGCAGCTCCATGCTGGGTTTGGGGGAGGAGACATCTTCCCCACCGTGGGCACAGCTGCTCTGTGCTGGGGTTGGAGGAGGTGGCACCTATCCTGGTCATGGCACGCAACCCAGAGCTGCTGCTGTCAGGGGACAGGTGGCAAGTAGATTTTAGCCCGGTGAGGCTGCGCAGTGCGGCCAGTGCATGTGCAGCGTGGTCTGCGCATGAGCAGCGTGCCAAACCGTGCGGCTGGTGAGCAGGGCTCGCTGCCACTCGTCAAGACCTGTACACTGCAGTGGTACACTGCAACCACTATCTGAGTGGTTTTGAGTCAGTAACATAGTGTATGTAACCCTTAGGACACTGGCTAATCATTAGTCTCATCCTGAAACAGAAAAGAAGTTTGTTGAAAATGTTCTATGTGGTGTATAAATACAGTATTATTTATGAAGTACATACGGAAGTACATGCCATCCTGACCCTCACCAATCTCCTTCCTTTTAGAGACACTATCATCCAACAGTGCAGAAATTTGCAGATCACCTTATTGCTGGAGCTCCAACTGAAGGTTCAGAAGCTCTCAAACCTGATTTGAGTCGAAGGTGGGATACATGATAGTTATGTTTTGAAATACAGTTCACTGGCAAAGCAGTAGTTGTTAGAAGATTACTCAGTGAGTAATTTTTTATATGTTGGAAAGTAGGTCTCGATCCTATTTTAATGGGGTCACCAGGCTGTCATTAGACTTGATGGGACCTGGGGTTGAAGCCAAAGCCTGACTCTCATCACTTAGTGCTGAAGACAACGTCCCAAGAGCTTTCAGGATTTGGTGGCAAGGATCAGGCTTTGGCTTCAGCCTGGCGGGGCCCACAGGTCACAGGTCCCTCTGACCAGGATGGGGGAATCGACTCTCAGATGGTCATGTAGTAATTTTTCGTTGTCAGAAAGGGACTGTGGTGCAGTGAAGTTTGAGAAATCTTGATCTAAGGGCTTGTTTGCAGAGGATAAAAATCATGCAAATTCAGCATATTCTGCCCTCATAGGAGTAAAAGCACTTTGTGTTGCTCAGTAGCAGCCTAACAATCTTAATAAGAAGCAGTGTTGCTGGGCTGCGATAGTCCAATGAAAACTAATTGCAGTGCAGGGTTCTGAAGTATGTACTGATGGAAATTAGTGTGAGGGCAGACAACTGTTTGGAACTGTGTCAGGCATGCATAGCAATCTTTCCTGTGACCTGGACTCTAGTTTCCCTCATTTGCATCTTTGTTCCTTCTTCAGTTATGTTGTTAAACTCAGCGTAATAATTTAAAGTAATTTTACAAGCAAGTAAAATGACTTTAAATGACTATGTTTGTCGCTACTCTTCTTTTGTGATTCATACCAAACTTTTCCACTTGATATTCTGTATTACTGGATAGTCTTTCTTCCCTTTTGGGACTGAAGTAGTGAGAAGGTCACTTTGAGTTCATAGAGAAGTGAAGTGAAACTCGTTTTATGGACATATACTTTATACGATTTCTTTTGATTGTGTAAAACTGATCTTGTGTTACAGGTCTGGTGCAGAACTTTTTGAGACCTATAATATGAAAGGAATGACTTTTAACCCTCCTGTTGCATCAGTTACACCTAGAAAAAAGGTACTGTTTCTTTCACTGTCCTTTCTTAAACATACATTTTTACAAATAGATACTAGAGCTCCTGACTCACTGCTCAGCATCATGAGGTTAATGTGCTTGTTTTAACTCTACATCCAACATAGTTTCCCAATGAAGTCCTTTTTATTGGTGTGGGATATTGATGACTGCTTACTGTGAAAGAAGAGAAATTGTATGACTAGTTCCATCTCCTGTAGTACAAGCATGTGTAGTAATGTGAATGTAGTGTTGTTTTTTTGATCTGTCATGCTCTTTTTGGCTCAGGGTAAGTTTGCTTCTATTGCCTTTCCATAGAAGCTCTTGTCTTAGAGTCTTGAGTCAGCAGGAGGCCAAATTCCCAAAGCTCTGATTCAGCATACAAAGGGGGAGAAGGGGGGAGAGAAATTGCCCCCATCAGTGCCAGTGTGTAACTGAAGAGTGTTATAAGAGGGGAACATAGAGTTTTTATGGGAGAGCGAAAAAGGTGAATGTTTCACAGAACTTCACTATGAAACATGTTCCAAGTGACAGCTCACATTACGTGTCACATAAGTACCCTCCACTTTTTAAAGCCAGACTTTATCCCTACTTTTAAAAATGTGGTGAACTATGAATTGCAACGGAGTCTCCTACTGATAATCTACTGTCAGTGAAGTCCTCTGACAGCATGGAATTTCTTTATTAAACAAGTAACTGGCTCCTCTGAACATGGCTTGTAAATTTGCCTATCTCCCGATCTTCACAGTAGTTACATGTCTGGCATTAGCAGATGGAAATAGAACTGTCTAGTACCTGAGTGAGAGTGCCTAGTATGTAATACCTTTGAAAATAGTTAACAAAAAAAATCAGTAACTACTAATGTTAAAGTGATGTACATCTCCTAAATTTAATTTGGAGTCTTGTTCATTTCTTCTCAAACAAACTCTGCTGATATCTCAGTTTTACTCTGGCCCACTTGCTTCTCCTATGTAGGTAGTCAGCCATAGGCCTTTGCAGCATGCCTCTATGGGACGGCACACTATCATCTGGGCCACTTGATAGAAACCATGAGTAGAAATTCAGGCTTAGAAGTGAGAGGGCTGTTCTCTTTGCGAGTCAGTTCGTGTGTATTTCACACTGTAGCTTTTTTAAATGTAAAAATTATTAAAAATAGGGAATCAAAATAGTTTGCATGATGTTAACCAAAGGCTGGTGTGGCAAGCTCCCCTTAGCTTAGTACAAAGAAGAATGGAAGAACATACAATAGAGAAAACAAATCCTTTTTCTGACCTCCTCAGGACAAACTGACAGCCTCTTGCTGGTAGTCCGTGGGGGTCAGTTAACATCTTCTGTCCTCACCTTCAGGAAATGGCTTAGGGAAGGGGCAAGGTAAAGTAATAAAATTATCACTACTCTTTTGGGACACTAATGGAAACCTTTATGTTGACCTTATTTAGATAGTTGTATAAATAATGTAAAATATCTAAAATTTTGATACTTTCCAGGATAAATTTTTACAAGCGGATTCATTTCTCAATGAAGATTTAAAGGAATTGATTCAGACACATCTCAAAGAGGCTGCTGTTCACAGACCCTTGGATTTTGCTAAACACTTAAAGGAATCATCCCTATCATAAGTATTACAACACAGTGCAATTGACTTAATTGGGGAGGATGGGCTGGAGCAGAATAGAAGAAAGAATTTGTTACCCATCATCTTTATAGGAATTCAGATAAAGTCCTATTATGGAAAGATGAAAAAGCATGTTAACCAGAACCCATTGATTAAGTAAGCTGTATTTTCACAGGAATCATGCTGAACTGTAACAAAAGTAACTTCTGGAAGTATAAAAACTCGAAGGCAGGTGATTTTAAAATGGGTTGAGACATGTATATTATTGCAATATTATTTACATAAATATATATTTTGCAAGAGTTGAATTGGTTTATGTTTGTTGACAACTGAATGCATATTTCGGGAAGTGCTCACACAGCACACAGGATTGAGTTCTTTGATGCTTATTTTGAGACATCTGGAGCTTTGGCATCCCTAGAGTAATAACTTGAACTGTTTTCTTGTCTAACTAACCCTATCTGTTAATTTCTCTTTTAAATGATTTTCTTTCAGTGATATCCTTTTGTTACTTACTGATCCATAAAAGGTATTTCAGAATTGGGCATATGAAATGTCACTGAATGGGCAATACCTTACATGAACCAGCACTGTTGAAGAAATTCAGAGTGATTTTTTTTTTGTCTTACTAGTCTTATTAGTACTCCTCCCTGGCCTTTAGTTGGTTACCTTAGAACAAGGTATGTTCTGTTGCCATTTTAATGTTGGCTTTATGAGACCTCTCACTTCACTTCACATATAATTTTGCGTAGAACTGATTTAATATGTGGTATGCAATGGAGTGCCTGAGAGCTCTCCACATGGAGCAGGACCTCATTGTGCTAGGCATTGCACAAATACAGAACAATAAGGTGGAATCTGACCTCAGCTTCTCTCACATGGTTGGTAACCCCACAGTCCTTCATTGTAGGGCAGATGAGGTCTTTAGGTTGCTACCATTATATAAATGATAAATTATATATAATTCCTGTGTAATCTGTTTTAAATATCTAACTTAATTGTACCAGACTATACATTTTCAATCAAAATAGGTTAAATAGTTATAAGAAGTACGACATAAATGCACAAAAATATCACTGTTTAAGTCGGTGCTGGTGAGTCCCAAAATTAATATATTTTAAAACTTATATTTTCTGTACCTGAACTGTTAAAAAGGATCTATTGAATGCTTCTGGCTTTGTACAAATATGTGTTTCTTGGTAATTTATATGATCCCCCATCTCCATAGCACTTCTCCTTGAGTACTTCTGTTCTTAAGTCAGAAACTTTAGAAAGTGTCCCTATTGCCAAAAATTTTGCAGTTAAGGAACGAAGAACTAAAGGTCCACTTCTCAAACCATTTATTTTTCCACATATACAAATACGTTTACTTTTCAAGTCAGCAGAGAGAAAGTAGTCCAGGTGGAAAGTCAAATTTAAAATACAGAGTTTTAATTTATGTAACATTTATAAAAACTGGCACATACTGATAGAACATTGACAAAACATGTTGACATACTTTAAAGCAGCACAAGGAAGACAATTGCACAAGTAATAAATCAGTTTGAAATATCCTATATTTGTCAGAGAGAAATTTCTATTGCATTTTTCATTTGTTTGTTACCCCCGTCAACTCTTGTAGCTCATGTCAACTCATGTCATCATCTAATGGGCCAGCAATAACCAAGTGATTAATAATAATTTGCTGATGCAAAATTGCTGAGAGCTAGAGTAAAATCTATAGCATTCAGAAACTATAGACTCAGTGTTAAAATAAAAAGCCACTGACAAGTTCTCTTCTCATGTATAAGGCCAAACTGAGTTTTTTAAGGGAATGTGATCTTAATGTTGAGATATTTCTCTGATAAAATCTTATTCTTGATAACCTGAAAATGGTCTCTAGAGCAGGGGGGGGGCACTTCACAAATTTTGGCAGTGGTCACGGGCAGTCAGTCCCCCGAAGGTGCAGGGCCTCCAGCAGAAGGGGGAGGAGGAGAATTTGCATGCTCTCCCTATTCCCAGGCCAGTAAAGGCCTGGGAGCAGGAGGAATGTGTGAAGTCTTCCCCCCCC